CCACCAGCAAAAAGATTACAATGCACTTTACTGCGGGGGTCTGCAAGCAAACTCACAACGTCTCAAAGGTGTGCCTGTAGCTCCCGACTGTCACGGAAGACAAGGGCGGTGTCCTCTCGCTGCCACACCCCAGCCCCTCGCACAGGCCTGCATGCGGCGGGCACGCCACGTGTGCTGCGGACCAGGAACGGGGCTGAGGAATGCTGAGGCAAACGCGGCCTTCCTTATAAATTAGGAACTATCTGGCATGTGGTTTTACATAATTTGCTCCCCCAAAAGCTGTTTAAACATGAATTTGGAGTGTATACTAAGCTTTTTTAATGATAATTTTTTTTTAATGATAAAGCATTTCGTGTAACAGTAAAAATCATGAAATATCATGATATACTTTTGCAAATCGGATCCTGATTTATTTTCTCCAACAACACAAATTTTCATAGAGTATGCTTTTATAAAAGAACAAATTTCATCTGTAAAAGCATCTGAATGAAAAATCGTAAGTTTTCAAAAGGAAACTAACTTACCTTTCACTGATGCATTCTTTCAGATGAGAAATCAACTTTCACTTTTTCCTTAACTACTTTTTGATAGTTATGAGTTTCAGTTACCGACCAAAAGCCACTGCAATGACGTTACCATTTTAAGACAAAGGAGGAAACAGACAGGTTCAGATCTACGTAGCACAAGAGTGGAACAGGCTCCAGGCAGGTGCGGACCTCTCACGTGCAGCCCCAGCTACATTCCCACTGTGCAAGTCAGTGGGAAAAGGGCACTGGCCCAGGAACAAATATAGGTTACAGCTCTAGTACGATTTTAGCCTCTGTCTAGCCATACGCCCTGGAACTCTAAACTTACTTTGAACCTCAGTGTTTTCACCTAGAAAGCAATGATTATCTCCTGACACACCTACTGCTCAGTTGTCATGAGAATCTAATGATAAAGCATATAGAGGCATTATGAAAAAATATAAATGCTTTCCTAATCTGACCCTCTTCTGCATGCCAGTAGACAGGAAAATCAACTACATTGGACATTTTTCCTCCACTAATAGTAACTAGTTACTTCAATATATATACACCACTATAACAGCCCACTTATTGGTTTTTCCACTGCTTGTTATAATGTATTTATAGAAAGAGTAAAAAAGATCTCAATATTTCTAATAATAATTGTGGATCAAAGTTCCTAGAGCTATAAAAGATACTAATAGCTTTCTTTGGTTCTCTACCAGGAAGATAATCCTATAAGTGCAGAAGAGTCAATTGTTTACTAATCAAATTATGCTTTAATCATACTAGGGAGAGCTGGCTACTTAGTCCAATAAAAAAATTCACTGACTAGGCCCCAGCATTTCATTTATTTTATAAAATTTCAATTTTTATTTCATAAAGGCTTCCTGAATGGGGGAAAGTATTAAGTAGGGCATACCTGAAAAGAGAAGACAGAATAAAGTTCTTAAAGTTTCTTATTTCACTTACTTTACTCCCCCTCTTCTATCCAAATAAAGAAACAAAGGAAATAAATAAAAAACTAGTCTGATCTCACTGTCTGCTCTCCATATACCCAAATCATTTCTCGGCCTCACCAGCTCTCCCACCCATGGAAAATGAGATGGGTACAGACAGGCCAGTGAAAACCTAAGTCCCAAGAATCACAAAATTAGTTAACCGGAGGGGCCTTCCCAGGATCGTCTGGTCCTCACTGATGAGGTCACTTCAAGGCAGTAACTATATCCAATGATGGTAAATCAGCTGCATCCATCTTTAGACAAGAGAGAAACCATCACTGTCATCAACTCCTGATTCTACTTTACCCACCTGCTAATTGAAATACTTAGGGCAAATCATTTAACCTCTTTGGCTACTTCTGTAATATTATAGCAAATAACATAAGATAGTCAAAACTCACTGTAAACCACACCACAAGTATTAATAAAATACTTTCTCTAGATGTACATACAGTATATTTCTATAGTAAGGGCTCTTATCAATAAGAAGCTGCAGATTGTTTTAAAAGGCCCCCAGTAATTAAGAGCCACGTGCAGGCCAACCCATCAGCCCGTGGGTGCCACGGACGTGCTTCAGGTGGTCCACGGATTCCTCTAAAATTATAACCACGAAACACAGGTGCACCTGGAAATTTTCTGGGCCAGATTTCTTTAATTTCACCAAGGATTACTAATCCTCAAAAGACTGAGAACTGCTGCAAACACACGCATGCTACACGCCAAAGATAAAGCTCCCATGGATGCTGCCCGAAACTGCACCACTGTTCTCTCACCCCGCCTGGATCAGAATCTTAGTTATTTTTACTTTCTTCACCTTCTCTCTCATCATCAATTCTGTCTAATCCATTTCCTCCTTTTCTATTCCTATTATTAGTGCTACAGCTCAGCCCCTCACACCTACAACCGGAGCAATGAAGAGGTCTTTCTATCCCCAGGTTCTCTCTACTTCAGTTCACACCACACCCTACTGCCACATTGATCCTCTGAAAACAAAGCTTCAATTGTTACATTCCAAACTCAAAAATCTGTAAGACCCCCACCGCCTACTAAATCCAAGGTCGTTAGCCTGACATTAAAAGCAATCAACAACTTGTCCAATTTTTACTTCAAGCTTTATCGCCCTTGTTATTGGCACAAATACGTTGTTCCATCCCTATATAATTACTTGCCTCTCCCCAAATGCATGAAGTCTGTGCTCTGTCCCTTCTCTCTGCCTGGATTACCATACCCAGCCTATCAGGAGCCTGTCATCATCAAAACAAAGATTTCAGAAGCCAGCTCTACAACTAAACCCCCTAACCTCACTTTGCCAAAGAAGACGTAACTCTAACCACCTCTGAATATGAATTCTGCACTCAACTATTAAAAGACGAATGAAGCATTTGTGTAGTCCTGTCTGCCTATCTCGTCTGTGATGACAGAAACTGCTATCATTTTCATGTTGATATAGCCTAAGACACCCCGCAGAGTCACGCAGTAGATGCTTCATAACTGCGCAAAGAAGTAAAAGAAATTCCAGACTCCGTGAGGGGAACAGGCAGAGGCTTCATCCACGACATCCTGTCATGCCAGGCTTTTCCAAACCCCAGGTGGTAGGAAGAACTATTTGAACCTGTTAATAAACTCCATCTAAAATAACTATTTCACATACTTTACACTTCTCAATCTGACTACCTCCCAACCCTTGCCATTAAGTTTTCAATTCAAAAAATATTACCTACGATAATTTCCAGTCCGAGCTAATTTACTAGGTTACAGTTAAAAACAAGTCATGTAAATAAAAGAATGCCTTTCTCTTTTTAAAGGCGCATTCTGCCCGTATAACACAGATTTAGTGAGACATACAAACTGGATTTATACATAAGCGTGAATGCGTGCAAAAACCTGTATACAACTGCTCACTAGGTACTTCAGGCAAAAACGCCCGAAGAGAAGAAGATAACTTTGAACATGACCCTTTTCCACTACTATTCCCAACGGTATTTTAAAGCAGAAACTTAAATCTTTTTTTGCACATTAGGCTCCACAAAAAGATACAAAACTTACCAAATAGAAAAAGAAAGCCACTCAAGCTTCTGGAAAATGTTATCTTAGAAGAGCAAAAAAGTGTCAAAATAATAGATACTGTTCTTTCTGGTCATGTAGGTTTCATGTAATCCCAAGAGCGAAGGACGCTGCACTGGAAATCCACCGAGTGGAGAAAAGACCGTGCGCTGCCTGACCCTATTTTAAAGGATGTAAAGGCAATAGGCAAACTACAGAAAAAAATTTTTAAGGACGCGACAGGAGACGATCCAAGTCACAGATGAAATAAGGACTAGTGAAAACTGCAAGGTCACGGGGACCTAGCAGGTCAGCGAGGTGGAGGTGGGGTTGTGCCGCGAGCTGCCGTCAGCGCGGACCGCAGCCGCGGGTCTGGGACGGGTGGCGGGGCGAGTCGCGGCCCGGGTCGCGGCCCGGGCAGGAAGTCCACCCTGGCGGGTCGCGAGCGGTGTCAGGGGAGGGGGAGAAGGCGGCGAGGAGGCTGGACCGCCGCGGCCGCACAGTCACCTCAACCCTCGGCGCCGCTCGGGTCTC